CTGCTGCACTCAGAAACCTACCGAGGTACTGGGGTGCCACCTGGGCCCCCTCCAGGGTTGCTCTTCTGTCTCTCGGCTCCCCATGGGGCCCCTCTTGCCCCCTCAACTCCTATTGCTCCCTTTTACTCCCTGGAGCCACGCCTAGGGGCTTCTCCACGCCCTCTGTGAGCCGCCTCAGCCTGAGTCAGGTCTTTTAAGAAAGGCCCGCACACTCCTGGAGGGGTGGGGACTGAGCGGTTCCTTCGGGCAGATCCCCACCTGGGGTGCCAACACTTGCTGCCAGCTCAACACCAGGCACCTTTCCTCTGGTACCATCTCTGCCTCCGAATGTGCCCACCTGGGCTCAGGGCAGCTCCACGGGCCATTTCCTCAATCTCCTCTTCCCTGGACCCTTCTCCTACCAACTCCTCCCTCAAGTCCTCCCACCTCCCCCAGCACCTGCACTCACTTCTTCATGACCTGATGGAAGGGAAATGGGCAGATACTCCCATGGTTCACAGGCATGTCTGTAGTCCTGTCTTTTCCCATCAAGGGAGGGAGCAGAGGCCGCCCTTGAGGAGTTTCTGGGTAGATGCTGGTCACAGGGTTCAGGCCCGCACTCCTAACCTGCCCTGGATTCTCCTTGCCCCCCATCTTGACCCTGAGGACTGCTCCTCTGCTGATGTTGGGGCACGCCACCCTTCCCTGCCTCTCCATCCTTTGCAAGGCCTTCTGTAAAGGGGGCTGGGTGCTCCCTCATGAAGCAGGCTTCAGGCTGCCCCCATATGGAGGTAGGACTGACTCCCTGGTCCTAACCATGGCCGCAGCCCACGTGTACCCTTCTCTGGACTTAGTTCTCCATCTGTGAATAGGAATAGTGATCCTGGCCCTTGCCCAGCTCCAGGGGCTGGGGATGGGAGTAACTATATGCCCAGAGCACTTGGTGAGGAAGGCAGTTATGTGGAGCAGGGAGGGCAGAAGGAAGAGGAGTGGGAAGAGAAAGAAAACTGTGTTTAAGTGCAGGGTTTCCTAGAGATGTAGTAGTACCTGTGGTGGTATAACGGGAGCTGGGGACAGGCTGAGACCCCATTTCCTACATTTGGGTTCTAAATGGCATTTTGGTCTCAGGGACAGGCTGCACTATCCAGTGTGAATTTTGGGCAGCGTCTTCCACCTTTTTTTCTGTTCTTTCTCCTAACATAAACTGCCACGCTAACAGAGGATCAGATGGCATGCATTACATTCCTCCAGGGACTCCTGAGCAGGGGGGCAAGCAGGCAGGGCTAGGTGATGGGCAAGCAGGCAGGGCTGGGTCACAGGCCAGCAGTCACTAACTTGCCAGTGTTTACTGGGCACCTGCTATGGGCCAGACACTAAGCTACAAAAGCAGACAATTGTACTCTCACCTTGAGCCTCCCAGGCTAAGCCGGGGAGAGACGGACCTGCAAATGGAACCAGTGCAATGCAACCCAGGGAAGGTCAGGGTCTTTTAGGTGGTGATGCACCCTGAGAGCAGAGGCTTGAAGAGCTGACTCTGCCTGGGCTGTCAGGTAAGTGATGCACATAAGCTGGATCTTAGAGGATGAGGAAGGAGAGAAGAGAAAGGCGTCCCTGGTACTGGAAGAGCATGGCCAGGGCATGCAGCTGTGAGAAGACTCAGTGTGCAGGGGCGTGGGGAGGAGATCACTGAGGCAAGAGAGGAGGAGGCCTACCACAGAGCTAGAGGACAGGCAGGAAAGGGAGAGGACCAGACCCAGAAGGGCCCTGGTGCCAAGCCCGGGAGTCTGGGTTGATCCTGCAGACAGTATGGCAGGAGAGGGGTGTTAAGTGGAAGATGATGATTGGTTTGCATTTTCTTCAGTTACTCTTGGCAATAACATGAGAGTAGGGGATGTGGGAGATGACGTATGTAGGAAATGTCTGTATTCCAAGCAAAGGCCTGAAGAAAGGCAGCAGCAGAGACCACAGAGGGTCCAGATGGGGAGGCTGTGTGGGTGACACACTGAGAATGCAGGTGGTGGAGCAGGTTTGGAGGTAAAACAAGTTGTAGGGGCTTGGAAGACACCCAGGCAAACATGTACAGTAGCACCCTTCGGACTGGAGATAGGAGCAAGGATCTTCCACTCACCAGGGCTCTGGGAAAGAATGTGGTCATCTGTTGAGAATGAAGAGAATCAAGAACCATCCTTTAAAAAATCCCTGCAAGTAAGGGAAGCATGTAGGAAAACCCAGTGAAATGCTCAGAAAACAAACAAACACACAAAAAACCTTTAAGCAGGAAAAAAAACAGGACTGCAGAAGAAAAGAAGTCAAGGCAATCTTCACCCAAGTAAAGAGATTGCCCACTAAAAAGAACAGAATCAAGCCATCTTTTATGAAGGTAAAAGCCAAACATAAAATACCCAGACAGTCTGCAAAGTGCCTCCTGCAAGAACAGAGCATCATGCAGGAACAGAGCATTTTCAAAAGTGTTTCCTAATTACATATTGAAGAGAGTTGATCTGAAAACCAGTGTCCATGTCTGACACTGTCTGGTCAATTAACACTGGATGGACAACCTGGATTAACAATGCACTGTCTGGGTCTGTTTTTTAAAAGCTTTTCAAAAAGTGATAGGTTGTCATTGTATGAAATTTAATCATATGCAAAACATGTTCTCTATCATTTATGGATTCATACATATGCATTAATGGTATAAAATCATGTATGGGATGATAAACACTAAATTAAAGAGAGTACTTACTTCTGAGATGGAGGAAAATGGGAAGGGGCACACAGGTGACTTACTACTAGATCTGAAATTATCTTTGTAAAAACTGAAAAACGACGATGAGTGACATCTGCATGTTACTTAGCATTGCTTTGGGTAGAGAATAAAGGGATCAGTGTTAACGAAGGAAGAAAATTCATATGGCTACAACAGTTTCAAATGCTCAAGAAAGCTCAAAGAGGATGACTTAAGAATAGCACTGGATTTAACAATTAGAAGGTCGTTAAATGTGACTTTATTGAGAGCAATTTCAGTGAGTGGATGGGGGTGGGGGCAGAATGGAAGCCATAAAGTGCTATAATGGGTTGAGGAATTAATGAGATTTGAAGTAATGGAGACAACTCTTCCCCTTTCAACAAATGTGCCAGTAAAAGGAGAGAAGATAATAGCTTTAGATGAAACTAAGCAGAGGACAGATGTTTTGGTGGTTTGACTGTTCTGTTATTTGGTGGATTGGATGAAGAGATTTTAAATACAGGAGGAGAAGGGAGAAAAGAAAAATATTGGGGAGGAGGGGAATGATGTTGGGGACTGGTATGTACCAGGCCTTCTTCTAAGCATTTTACACATATTAATTTTTTTAGTCCTGATGAAGGAGATTGCATTATTATCCAATTTTACAGATGGAAACACTGAGGCACAAAGAGGTTGAATAATTTGCCCAAGGTCATCCAGCTAGTAAGTGGCAGTCTGGCCGGAGTCAGGACACTATTGCAAGGCCCTAAGGGGGCAGAAGGATGAATCCAGCTCATGGGTGGCAGGAGGGTCTGTCCCCAGAAGATAGAAGGCTGCCTCCTTGAGCTGGAGCAATGGCACTATTTCAGTAGGTCTTGGGACAGAGGGAATAAAGCTGAAGGGATTCTTAGAAGCTGCAGCTCTCAGGGGATAAGAGCTTAAAAAGTGGCAAAGGATTGGAAGAGTTGGTTCTGGAAAGAAGAAAACAAGCTCCCAAAGAACATAGAAAAGGGTCACTAAGCAAGTGGATCAAAGGGGCCTGGTGAGTTGAGCACCCTGACGAGTTAAGCTGTGAGGTCGTGAATAGGTGGTGTGGTTCCTCCAGCAACCTCTGCACCCAGGAGCAGAATCAGAAGAAACCGAGGGTAAAACTTATCCAGGGAGGGGCAGAAGAAACCTTCTAGGAAGGCTGATGATAAAAACCCAGTCCTGGTATGGAGCTTAAGGTCAGCCCCCTTGAGAGATATGGCATGCAACACTCCAAGCTACAGAGGAGCTTCCAGAAAAAGGGAGGTGATATTTGATTTTGCATTAAAAGCCTTAATTAAACAACCAACCAAACAAACAAACACTAAGAAGGCCAGGCGCAGTGGCTCATGCCTGTAATCCCAGCACCTTGGGAGGCCAAGGAGGGCAAATCACCTGAGGTCAGGAGTTCGAGACCAGCCTGGCTAACATGGTGAAACCCCCATCTCCACTAAAAATACAAAAATTAGCCGGGCATGGTGGTGTGCGCCTATAGCCCCAGTTACTTGGGAGGCTGAGACACGAGAATCGCTTAAACCCAGAAGGTGGAGGTTGCAGTGAGTTGAGATCACACCATTGCACTCCAGTCTGGGTGACAGAGCAAGACCATGTCTGAAAAAAAGAAAAAGAAAAAAATAAGCTTAGTGTCTCCTTTTAAGAAAATACTTCAGAAAGCCCAGTAAACAAGAGTCACAAATATATGTACTTCACAAACACAGGCTGGAGGGGACCCAAGGGAGCCAAGCTTCACCCCCCACCCCCATAATGACCTTGGCACAGCAGCTGAGACAGTCTACATAGCCAGCCAGCCAAAGAGCAAACCCTCTGCTGGGGCACAGCGGCCTTCCTCAGCGCACCACCCGAACACCCCAGCACCCAGCCGCACAACCCAGCACTGGCCACAGCAGGGCACGAGTCACACTGCAGGGTAGTTCACAAGAAAAAGGCTGCCTATTGCACCTCATACCTCCAGGCCTGGGGGCACAGGATCAAAGGCCTCCTACTGGGATGACCTGGCCTCCTGAAACTTCCATGTCCCTAGGATGTGGCTTATGAGACAGCAGAAGAAGATGCAGACCCTGGGGAAAGGCCTCTGAGAGTCTCAGTGCAGCCGGGGCACAGCAGACCAACTGGCCTGGCCTGTTACCTCCCGGGGGCCCTCGGAGCTCAAGGTTCTGAAACAAGGACCACCTGATGCTGGGCCTAGGGGTACACACACACAGTCTTACACCTGAGTCACCATCCTAGTAAAGAACAGCGTAAAACCAGGCAAAATTTCCAGGAATTTATTGGAAACACAATACAAATTAGTTAGTAGATGGCATCTTCTTACAGACAGACAGTCCACACTGCGATATCATGCTCAGAATGAATTATCCTGGGGAAACACTCATGAGCATGGGTGTGTGCTCTGGGTTAGCTTCCGTGGCAGGGAAAATCAGAGACACGGTGCAGAGGAACAGGAGGGGTGGACAGAAAACTGGGACATGGCCTTCCTGGGGGGAATGGTGAGGAGGGGCTGCTAACTGGGTAAATTCCCCCAAAGGAAAACAGGGCCAACAGTAAAGAATAAAGGCTTCCCCCTCCCTCCCCAAAACCGTTTCCTCCATGGCAGAGTAAAACAGAATCTCCAAACACCCACGGGGCAGCTCCTCCGCCTCCCCTCGCCAGGGACTTAGGACAGCAGTGGGGCACGAACACCAGGCTCAGACATGACACTGAGTGCACCGAGGCCACGCACAGCCCCACCTGCTTGCCCTCAGCCCGCTGTTCTGCTCTGCTCTGAGTGGCAGGGGACTGACCTGGTGGGTTGCCTGTCCCAGGCTCCCGGGGCAGCTGCTTCCAACTGGGCTTCACTATTGTGAGGCACTTGCAGGACTCTGGAGGCCAAGAGGAGGGGAGAGGCCGGGGCCCCCTCTCTCCGCCTGGGGAAATGTTTCTGACAAGAACCATGGCTTCTCAAGGCTCCAGCTCCCACCAGACAGGTCCGCGGTATGGCAGGTCCCCCAGTGGCCTTGGCCCCAGGCTCTGGTGATGCGTCCTCCCATGGCGCCCAGCCAGTTTCAGGATGGGGGCAGCTTGCTGTTGCTGTTCCCACCTCTGGGTTGCCCCTCACTCCCCTGTTTTGCCTCTCAGCTTTTCTTGTTTTGTGTTAAACAAATCTCTGGATGAAAACCCCCATTTGAAATCCATTTTCCTGGGTGGGCCCTGAGCGATGGAAACTGGGCTGTGCACAAGGGGAATTGTGAAGGGCAGGCTGAAACCTTCCGACAACACCCTCCAGCCGGCCCTCCTCTCTTGTGCACCTTTAAGAAGTGAAGGGTGGGCAGGCGATGACTGAGCCAGAGGGGGAGATGCCCTGCAGAGCCTGTGTCCTCACCCCAGGGGCATGTCTGCTGGGGGCTGAGCAGACAGTCTCTGCACGTCCACCCATGTGCTCACTGAACCACAGTGACATGCCACTGACACACAGCAGCGACACCGTGGCCCCAGAAAGGGAGGGGGTGGTTGGGAAACCCTCTCAGCACCAAATGCTGAGCAAAGGCATGGACTAGAGGCGCCTCGGCATCCTTCCTCCACTGCCCGGGGGAGTCTGTCAGAACGAGGGGGCAGTTTCCAGAGACAAAGGGAGAGCTTGAAGTCTCAGTCAATATAACCCTCCTAGGATGATGGGACTGCAGAACCATGAACTTTACTTACAAGAGGAAGGAAAAGCCTGCTTGGCACATGTAGCTCGAACAAGCTGTGCTCTTCCCAAAGCCAAATTTCAACTGGGTAGACAGGAGGGGCCTCCCTTCTCCTGCTTCAGACCTGGCTGACTCCTGTCTCCAAATCTCTTGGGCCTGGGTGAGAGGGCCTCTCCCAAAAGGCAGAGAAAATGAAGCTGACAGCTGAGTCATGGGTAGCTAATTGTTTCCAGAATCTGCAGTCATCACTTAACAGGGGTTCAGAAAGAAAGTGAAAGGGTGAGGGAAGCATTTCCCTTTCTGGGTCCAAGTACAACAATAAATCCAGAGCAGGGCACAGACAGACAACTTTCCTGTGTCTTTTTCTTTAGGGAAGAAACATCCCACATGATGCGGCACTTGGAGAGCAAAGACCTCCTCCCAGGTCTCTGGTGAAGGGACCTGTCAGTGGGAACCCTGAGAACACCTGCCTGCCACCTCCACCCATCTCACCTAACGCTTCTGACACAGGGCCCACCCTCGGGGCCCCAAGCCAAGACCCAGTACAGCTCCAAGAGTGGGTGGTGGTAGAAACATCCCATGATCGCCCTTGCAGAAGCCTGAGATGAGAACCAACTCCTCCTCAGAAAAGAAGCTGAGATGTCTGCAAAACCGCCCTCCACCTCAAACACCACGCTCTCTCTGCCAAGCGGAGCCCAGCCTCCGAGGACACAGACATCTAGAGCATCATTACCCTTACTGTGTTACCTCGTTCTTCCCAGGGAGTCAATTCAATTGTAGCCACTGTGTCTTGCAACAACTTGGCTATGTGGGCCTCTCATACCTGCTATCCAGCTGTCTCCCAGTCACCCCAGAGATGGCTGGGAGGTCAGACTCCAGTTGTCTTTCATAGGACTGTGACCCTGTGCCCCATGGCCTATGCCTGCAAACAGAGGGCAGGGGAGTTGCCAGCCTCACATCTGCCCAGGGAGCTCATCGGGCGCTGCGCTGTTCCTATCCTTGCAGTTGCCAGCACAGAGCAGCTGAGTGGCCAACTGTGATGCCACCGAGGGCTGGTGCTGAGGGCAGGTGGGAAACGCCAAGAGCTCAAGCCAGAGGAGCAGACAGGTCCCTGGGGCCTAGGTCACATGTGCTCACAGGATTTGGGCTGGAGGGGTGGGGTCACGGGGTTGGCCATACAGACTCATACCCACAAACACAGTTCTCTCACTCCACGCCCCTGGGCCAAACAGAGTCTGTCTGCTTAAAATGAAACTAGGTCATTTGTGGCCTGCTGAAGGACCCACCTGGCAGCAGTTCTTCATCAGCTGGTGTGGCTGCAAGGGAACAGGGCAGTAAGCAAACGGCTCGTCACAGTGATACACACGCTTGGCACTTTTAACACCTGCTCTTGCTGGAGCTGTCTGGGACCAAGCAGAGCCGGGCAGAACACCAGCTTCTCTCCAACTACAAAACACAGATGATGAGTTTACAGGCTTATCTTTTGTCAGAACCTCAGGCAACTCTGTTCCTTGGAGGAGTAGGAGGGAGGGTCACATATAGGAATGCTGGGGGCAAACAGCAGATTCCCCCATTTCAAAAAAAAAAAAAAGTATGAAGCCTATGGAGAAAAAGCTGAGTGACGGTAACAGCAAGGACAGGGAAATGCCATGAACCTCATAAACACTGGCACATTTCTTAAGAAAAATCCACTCAGAAAGATGCCATGGCCCTCCTGTACATATTTAGTAACTATACAGCATAAGACCGAGCTGAGCGGACACATGCAGGGTGACAGCGGCTCTGAGCTCGCAGCAGCCCCACTGCCAAGTGACCGCTGTTGCTGGGAGGGGTGCAGGGCGCTGCAGAAGGGAGGAGGTGGAGGGGTTCCCTCAGCCCCTCACTTCTCAGCAGGTCTCGCTCTGTAACAGCGAGGTCTCTGACAAGAAAGCGAAGTGCTGCTGATCCACACGTGGAGACACAGGATTTGGAACGTGCACTCCCACAGTTCCTTCCCCACCCCATTGCGTCTCCATGGATGCACGCAGAGGTCTCCCACTGAAATGTACTGGGAGTGGGGCTGCCTCCTTCCCAGGCACGACTGTGAACATCAGCAGGACAGTGCAGCAAGTCTTGGATTGTAGAATGAATCAGGGAAAGCTCAGTCTGACACACAGCACGTGAGTTCTAGAAAAGGGAAGAAACAGGGTGAAGGTTAAACAAGTCCTGATGGTGGAGGCAAGATGAAAGGGAGGATGGACTCAGCCCTCCCAACATCACAACCTTCAGGGAAAGGAGGTTCAGCAGTAGGTCAAAGAAAATCTCATGACTAGGCCAGGTGTGGTGGCTCACACCCATAATCCCAGCACTTTGGGAGGCCGAGGCCGGTGGATGGCTTGAGGCCAGAAGTTCAAGACAGTCTGGACAACATAGCAACACTCTGTCTCTACAAAAATAAAAATAAAAAATTAGCTGGGTGTGGTGGTGCATGCCAGCTACTCAGGAGGTCAGCTACTGACCAGTAGTCCCAGCTACTCCAGAGGCTGAGGTGGGAGGAATGCTTGAGCTCACAAAGCCAAGGCTGCAGTGAGCTGTGATCGCACCACTGCACTCCAGCCCAGGTGACAGAGCAAGACCCTGTCTGGAAAAAAAAAAAAAAAAAGGCTCACAATGTAGTTTAACGCTGGATCAAAGGGAAAGTTTAATTAAAGCCAATAAAATATATAATTGATACTGAAGGATGGAAAGATCTTAAAAGCTGGGTTTTGAATAGGTGGGTTTAGTGGTCACTGGAAAGGTGCTACAGTACACCAGGCAAGAGAAGAGACTCATGGAACTTCCCTGACGGATACTAAGGAATGGGGAACAGAGTTGGCTGGGAGGAGGCACGATCTCATCTGAGCTCATCATAATTAATCATAATGATGTGGGCACCCAGAGGCTATGAACACATTTCTTGTAGGAGGGGAGTGAACCTCACTCTCCCACAGTGTCAGGAACTATTCCTATGCCCCTCACTCCCACCCCCTCCACTTCCCCGAAAACCTTCAACTCTGACCATCTGGAGACTACAGTAGAAACAAGTAAATGAAAAAGCAGAAGTGGCCTGCAAACCACATCACCACCGTGTTGTATTACTCAGAAAGTTGTGAAAGCTTTTACTTAGTTATTAGGAAAGTGGCTAGGAGGGGTTGTTTGCTGAGAAGAGGTAAGATGCTCAGATATTCTCTGCCCCAGGCACACCACCCTGCAGCCAGGAAATGACCCAGCAATGCTCACCTTCACAGCCTCAGGGCATGCCGAGGAAGGGCTGCAGGATGGAGCAGAGCTGTGCTTTCACTTCATGAGCTTTTCTAGGATAGGGAAGATATATGTACCCAACTTGGTATTTGATATGAGCTCAGCAAATATGTGTTAAATAAAGGCCCAGATAAATTCAGTTTAGGAATCAGGCTAACCTTGCTTTATTGAACACACTGTAGGTTATGTAACTGTCTTATTTAACCTTCAGCAGAATCTTGGGAGTGTCAGAGACGTTAAGAACTTGCTCAAGGTCATAGTAAGTAAGCTGAGGAGTCAAGGTTTGACTTTATATCTTAATATGGGTCAAGTTTTTCCTACTACACCAAGCTGCTCATTCTCCATCCAGCCTAGTGTTCTGCTAACAGCCCAGTAAGAGCATCCTGACCTCCTCAGTGTCTAAATGGAAGGTTATGTATGTGTCAGCGTCTCCTAGGAGCTACTCTCTCTTTTTGTATTTAGTGGAGCAGGAGCTCTGTCATTCATCTGTCTAAACCCTTATGGAATTAAATCACCTATCAAAAGAGCTGCTTTTAATAGTTTCCCAAGTTTCTAGCCCGCCATGGAAAATTGTGCTTTTATTTGTGCCAATCTTGTCTGCTGCAGTTTCAGAGACAACCCTCTTCTCCTAGCGTCTCAGGTTCTGGTGCCCAGGCTCCAATCTGCCTTCTCCACCCTGGCTGTGTTTTCAGTTGAGACAGGCCACCTCTCTGTATTCTAGGCTGAAGAATCCCAGTACTCACCACCTGCCCTTATAAGGTTATCACTTCACTCTCCTCTGCTCAGAGCTTCCCCAGATCCTCTGCATTTCCTTGAAGCAGGAACAAGAGCCAGATACAGAGACTCAGCACAGTAGCACAGGCAGAGAGCCCCAGGAAAGGTCTGTATCAATTCTCAGTCTCCTTCCTAGACCATGATGTAGCCCAAATCATTTCTCTTTTTGTTTATTTATTCTCAAATGTGTTAACCTATATTTGCCACTGTGGTATGTACTCACCCTGACTGACAGGCACTTATTTGGTTTTTTGGGGTTTTTTGCAAAATTTTCCCTAATGGTTTGACTACTCAGAAGTACTTGAAGTCCATGGACTTGGAGATTCTGCACTTGAATCAACCAGTCCAATGAAAACAGCCTAGCCAGCTAGTTGCTGCCTTCTGAGTTAGTTTCCTTCCCTTCTGAAAATCAGAGAAGAAACCATCATCAGAATTTTAGAGGCTAGAAAGCAGATAAATGAGTGAAAACAGACTATGCACTCAAGACAGACAGACTTGAAGTTTCAGTGTGGAAGGCTGAGGACCCAATTTGTCCAGAGAACCCCAAAGGGCTCATGAAATGATACCGGGTACCTCTGGAAGTGGGGGAGGGGACTGAAGCAAGGAAGAGGAGTTAAAGGCTCTTTGAGAAGCAGCTGGATCGCAAGAAGCTCTCCCGACTCCACACCACCAGGCAACTGGCTATGTCCCACCAGTAGGGACATTTATTCTCTGAAGAGGACAAAAACAAGTTTCAGGCCTAGGGGGCACTAGGTACCATGCACAGCTAAGGACAAGGCTACAACTCTAACATAGAGAGACCAAGTGAACCTATATCCACTGAATGGTGAGCCTCCAGCCTTCTTCCCATGAAGCTCTCAGAATGCAGGTGACAAACCTTTATCCTCTGGGGAACAGATAGGAAGAAACTCCTCTGGGGAATCTGACAAGCCCATGATAAAATACGTAAAGAAACTGACATTTATGGTCCAAACACCAGGCCAACCTGATCACCCTACAGTGAACTGCACTACAGGTTCTGCCAAGAACAGGCACAGAGGTTTCACTCTGATTTTTAGTCTCCTACTTTTAAACATTATTTGACAACAAAGGTCACCAGGGGAAAAGAAAAAAAAAAAAAAACCCTCTAACACAAGTGTTGGAGACCAAATAACAAATAATCAACAGAAGAATACAAATTGGAAGAAACAGAGAGAAGAAATAGAGAAGAAAACTTAAAAAACAAAAAACACAGCCGGGCGCGGTGGCTCACGCCTGTAATCCCAGCACTTTGGGAGGCCAAGGCAGGCAGACCACGAGGTCAAGAAATCAAGACCAGCCTGGCCAACATAGTGAAACCTCGTCTCTACTAAAAATACAAAAATTAGCTAGGTGTGGTGGCACGTGCCTGTAATCCCAGCTACTCAGGAGGCTGAGGCCGGGGAATCACTTGAACCCAGGAGGCGGAGGTTGCAGTGAGCCAAGATTGTGCCACTGCACTCCAGCCTGGTGACAGAGTGAGACTCTATCTCAAAATAAATAAATAAATAAATAAAATAAAAATAAAAAGCCACTATCATTAATATCCTCAGAGAAGAAAAGATCTGTGAAAGATATGTATCTATGAAACATAAATAGTATGTTGTTTTTTCTTAACTGAGAGAAACAGGAGGGGGAAGCACATAGAAGGATTGAGGAGTTCTGCTTCCTATCATGGTAGGCTAATTTGCCTAATCCTCCAGCCAGTAACAGTGTTAAACTCTGGACAAAATATAAGGAACAACTGTTTGAGGCTAGGTGTGGTGACTCATGCCTGTAATCCCAGCACTTTGGGAGGTTGAGGTGGGAGGATCACTTGAGGTCAGGAGTTCAAGACCAGCCTGGCTAACACGACGAAACCCCGTCTCTACTAAAAGTACAAAAATCAGCCAGGCATGGTGATGGCCACCCAAAATTCTAGCTACTTGGGAGGCTGAGGCAGGAGAATTGTTTGAACCCAGGAGGCGGAGGTTGCAGTGAGCCGAGATCATGCCACTGCACTCCAGCACGGGTGACAGTGCGAGACTCTGTCTCAAAAATCCAATACAATAAATTTAAAAAAAAAGAACAACTGTTTGAAAGTACTAGAGAGCAACCAAAATCAGGTAAAAATTGGAGGGGCTCTGAACCTAGAAAAAAGTGAGACAAGGTAAGAAAAAGTGAGACAAGGTGAAAGCCACTCTTAAGTGTCTTTGCCTGTGAGCATGTTCGTGCAGTATGAGATGAATATATTTCAGGCAGAAAGCTACAGTCTACTGGGCTGAGGAACCAGAAGTCAGAGTTTCAAGCAGCCAATACAGCTGGAAACCGAGGGAAGAGATCTTACAGAGGAAGGAGACACAGAAGGGGGAGCCCTCAAATCTACATACAAACTCCCCTCACATTACTTGCTTATTTCTGAACTATGCAAGTGCAGGGTGAGATTCCCAGGAGTCCAATGGAAAACATCAGCTGGAAGGCTCAAAGAGCCGAGCAGTGACTTCAGGAGCTGTCCAGTGCTGCGAAGACAGAATTTGGAGTTCAAATTCTGTGAAGTTAAAGGGGCCTGGTAAACAACTTGGTCGTTCCACTGAAATTCCATGGGAATAAGGACAAAATTGAAATAGGTGAGGCTTAATAAAGCTTTAAACCAAACCTCCAATGTAAGTCCTTTCTACAACAAAATTTACCACTCTGCAAAGGAAAATAACAGAATCCTGAGTCTTTACAACTCATCATTCACACTGACCCAGTATGCATTTAAAAATGATTGGACATAGCCAAGTGCAGTGGCTCATGCCTGTAATCCCAGCACTTTGGGAGGCCGAGGTGGGTGGATCACCTGAGGTCAAGAGTTCGAGACCAGCCTGGCCAACATGGTGAGACCCCCATCTCTACTAAAAACACAAAATTAGCCGGGCATGGTGGCACATGCCTGTAATCCCAGCTACTCAGGAGGCAAGGCTGGAAAATCGCTTGAACCTCGGAGGCAGAGGCTGCAGTGAGCTGAGATTGCGCTATTGCACTCCAGCCTGGGCAACAAGAACGAAACTCTGTCTCAATTAAAAAAAAAAAAAACAGATTAGACATGAGAAACAAGAAAATGCAACCCATAATCAAAAGAAAAAACAGTCCCTAGATTAATGGATAATTCAGATGTTAGAATTCGTAGCTATGGACTTAAAATATTTACTATAAATATGCTAAAGAATCTATAGAAAAAGACAGGCATAACAGGTGACAAGGTAGGGAATTTTAGAAGTATAAAATAACTAAATGGAAATCTGAAAACTGAAAAATACAAAATCTAAAATGAAAAATGTGTTGGATGGGACTAATAGCAGCTTTGATACTGTAGAAGAAGTAATCAGTCAACTTGATGACAGAACTCTAAAAATCATCCAAAATGACAGAGTACACACTGTATGACTGCATTTATATATAATTCTAGAAAACAGGCCAGGCACGGTGGCTCACGCCTGTAATCCCAGCACTTTGGGAGACCAAGGCAGGTAGATCACGAGGTCAGGAGATGGAGACCATCCTGGTCAATACGGTGAAACCTTGTCTCTACTAAAATACAAAAAAAAAAAAAATTAACTGGGTGTGGTGGCACATGCCTGTAGTTCCAGATGCTTGAGAGGCCGAGGCTGGGGAATCGCTTGAACCTGGGAGGCAGAGTTTGCAGTGAGCTGAGATCGCGCCACTTCACTCCAGCCTGGCGACAGAGGGAAACTCCGTCTCAACAAAACAAAACCTAATTCTAGAAAATGTAAATGAACCTATAGTGGCAAAAAACACATCAGTGGTCACCTGGGGGTGAGGTGGGGGAGATGGGGAGGGAAGGTGGGAGGATTATAATGGGGTGCAAGAAAACTGTTGAGGGTGATGATTAAGTTTATTATTTTGATTGTGGTGATGGTTTCCTGCTGTATACGTTTCAAAACTTATTGTTTATTTTAATAATATACAGTTTACCAAATGACAATGATATCTTAATAAAGCTATTAAAATGGTAATGAAAAATGGCTTTGTAGGTAGGATATAAACAAGCTCTGTGGGAGTTACATAATAACAGGTTACATGTTGGTCAAAGAGAGAGATTCTGTTTTCTGAGGCCTGCTCTTGAGGCTTTAAGTGCCCCAACAGTGTAACAAGCACTATGGGAGTTATCAGTCAGGAATTTCCCTTGTGCTTGTTAGACTGTTGGGGCCCCTCAGAGCTTCAAGAGCAGGCCTCAGAAAGCAGAATCTCTCTCCCTGACCTTCTCCTGCCCCCCTTT